CTTGTTTATTTTAAACTAGAAATTCTTTTATATAATTCTTTCAATTAGAAATTTATCTTGTAATAAAAATATGAAGTATTTAATTTATTACTTTTATTTCAATGTTATTCTTTTTCACAATATCAACTTAATTAAAACTATACTAATAAATATAATATATATTCATTTTTATTCCTTTTTTCTAGAATAACAAAAATCCTCTTTTTATTTACAAATTATTTTCTGGTTTTGGTTTTATTTAAATTGATCTTTTTTTTTCTTGTGTTACTTTGGTTTCATCTTTTATGAAGTGGATAATATAGATTAGGTTGCATTAAAGTTTGATTGTTTTATATAATACTTTAAATTCTATAAGTCTTCATGTTTTATCCATGTTAATGCTTTTGAAAATGAATGAAATATTTATTTACTGCCTTTGTTTATTAGATCTATTGACAACAATTAGAAATACATATTACTTTATTTCTCTATTTAATTTTAAATCCATTTAATCTGATGATAGTTTTGTATTTATCTTTCGAAATCATTATTTCATTGTGTGATGATAATAAATTTTTTGTCACTATTGCTAAAGACAATTCTTACATGAAAATGAATCAGTTTAGATGAACTTTTGAGTTGTTATAAATTTTGTCACATATTATGTAATTTTTGAGATAAAATTTAATAAACAATTTTCTTCAATAGGTGTCAATTCTATAGCATAAATATTCAAATTGAACCATCAGCAAAATACATAATTATTGGAGGAAGATAAATTAAATATTTACATGAATCGTTACAATGTCAAAATGTAATGATAATTATGCTTGAAATAAAACAGGATGTTATTAACCATACAAATTTTTAATAAATGAACAATGAACAAATTAGTGATACTTTTTGTAAAATATAAGAATGAAATAAATGATGTTATGTGTTAAACAAGTAACATGCAAAATAGGAACTTAAGTAGTATGATAACATTCAAATTAAATACATTGTTACTTGAGTATTTTGTTACTAAAAGAAATGACTTACAAAACATTTAAGAAACTATATGATTGTATCATATCATCACTAATTGATATAATCCAATCTCCGCAAAGAGATAGTCAAATTCAAAACTTATTAATAATACATTAACTCATGTAACTAATGGATACCAATGATAAAATTAATTTAAAAGATATAGTGTCATTGAAATGTTAGTATTGTTGGATGATTGAGTTAAAAAGAATAATAAAAACAAACTAACGAAAAATAATAAGACAAATATTTCATAAAATTAAAACAAATCTAAACACAAATTCACAAAACGAAAGGATAAAGAAAATAATAAAATAAATGATATGTTATACTATTAAAGAAAAAAACTTGTTAATTTCATAAATGGCACAAAGGAAGATATTACCTCACTACCCCTATTTTTGTTTTCGTTTGCTTTAAAAGACTTTTCAATTAAATCAAAAAAAGAATTAAAAGTAATAAACTAAAGGAAAATGAAAAAAACAAATGATAAAAATAACTTCAGGGAAAGTTCATATTTTTTTACAAAAAAAATCAAACCTAAAAATACCTTAAGAAAAAGCAAAATAACGGAGATTTCTAAAAGAGATTAGGAAAAAGAAGAGAAAAAAATAATATAAAACAAGAGGAAAAGTTGTTGATGTCAACTCCTAAAAGAAAAAATTTTAAATTTTCTAAAAATAGAGAAAAGAAAAAGTATTTGGAAATCCTTTCTTTTTTGAAAACAAAAAGAGTTAGAAGAACCCTATTTAAATCTCATCTTAAAGAAAAAGCAATCAAATGAATACAATAGAACATTGTACTATTCCTGTTTTTAACGAATATGACTCAACACCTATTCCATTAGAAACACCAGAAAATGAAGAATATCATTTAAAATTATGTCTTTGTCCATTATGTAAACATGGAATTGAAGTATTTGGAAGTAAACGACCTGTTTCATGGATATTAATTTGTAGAATTATTATTTATTCATTAATGGAAATTCATAAAGGAGTTTCATATTTTTCATTAAAAGATGATATTCATGGATTTGTTGCAGAACATTGGCATATATTTGGACAATTAGATCAATTTAAAACAAGTCCAAATAGATGGAAAAAAGCATTTCTTGATGGACTTAGTCATTCACCATATTTTCAAAGTGGAACATTAACATTAAAAAAACCAAATTTTTGGAAATTAAGAAGACGAGATTGTCCATGGATTAAACAAAAACGATGTAACATTATTGAAGATGAAGATGACCAAGATATTAATCAATCTTTACTTTTACCTCAAACAACAGAAAGTTCTCCAATTCCTGATCTAAATGGAATCCCTACTTCTGATAATACTAAAGATTATTTAAAAATGTCAGTTGAATATGCTAAAGCTCAACTTAATAAATGTCAGTTGGTTTGTCAAAATTTAGAAAATGATTCACAAATTGCACAAAACATGAAAATGATTACAGAACAACTGAATTATATTCACATGTCATTAAACGTGATTGTTACAAATATCGAAAATTCTCTTCCATAAAACAAAATGAATATCATATTTAAATAGTTTATTTATTCTTCTTCTTTTTGTTCTTATTTTTCTTTTGTTCTAATAATTAATAACAAAATTAATTATAATCTTTCTTTTCTTTTCATTTTTCTTTCTAATATCTTAGAGGTTTTTTTTTCGTTTTGTCTCGTTTATGTGATGACGAAATAGTATTTATTAAAAAAAAAAACAAAAATATTGTTTTATTTTATTAATTCATTAATCGTTTTAGTATTAACTATCTTTTTTGTAAATTTAAACTTGTTTAATTAGTTGTTTTTAAACCTCTTAACGTTTGGTATACTCAGTTTCTATTTCAAATATTAACTAGTCTCTTCTCTTAAGAAATAGAGAAAAACTCTCAATATTACAATCTCCTTTCTTTTCTTAAAGAAGGATGGACTAGTCCTGTTCAATACTTCATATTTACTTACATAAAAATGTTGGTTGCTAAATGTAAAAATAAAATGTTATTCAAACCAACTGTATTATTTTAAAACAATTTTTTGTTGCGTTTCTTTTCTTATTTTTCTTATTCCATTCCATAACAATTTATAAAAAACTGAAGATGAACATATATTCAAATGGTTATTGAATTTAAATAGAACATAACACTACATATTAAAAATCACATGAAAAGGAATTTTATTATACCCTCTAATGAAAAGATAAATTAAAGGAAAATAAAAAGATGAATATTTGAGAGATTAGATTTTTTTTATGATTAATTTTAAGAGAAAATTATTTATTTAACATATTTAAGATAGAAATAATACAAAATAAATCATCAACGTAAATTGCTTTTTATCATCATAAATAAATATATTATTTAACTTAAAAAAAGGAGAAAATTATGATTAATTCATTTTACTAAGAATTATGTGGAATAATTATACAACTTCAGATAAAATGAATTTTTTTTTATAAAAAATAAAAAATAAAATCAATAAACAAATGAATAATAATGAGGAGAAACTGGAGCAAAAGAAAGATTATAATAAGAGTTTGTAATAAAATCAATACCTAATGAATTTTGATTTTGAGATGGAGAGATTAATTCATTAGTGGATTGATTAAAATTTTTATAAAAAAGATTAGGATTAATAGATAATTGATGAGGAGGGTCAATGCAAGGAGGTAATTTATTTTTTTGATTTAATTGTAATAAATTAATACTAAAAGGATGAAAAGCATGTAACGTAGAACTTTTTTCTTGTTTTACAAATTGAGAAACAATATATTGGTTCATTTGTTTTCCAATATGATTCATTTGAGTTTGGGTTATAATAGTTTGACCATTTAATGAAATTTCATTAATTTTTTCCATTTGTAATGTTTTTTTAGATGATTTTGTAGAGCGTTTATGAACAGTATATCCATTTTGTTCTGCATATCCAACAAGCCAATTAAATGTTAAAGCTGCTCTATTTAAATCTCTTCTTCTTTTAATTGTTTTAATTTGGTTTGATGACATATCCTTTTTTATTTCAGATGCATATTGTTTATCACAATATTCATCAATAACACTTCCAAAATCTAACTTTTTCTCATTGAAATAAACATTATTAATAACTAAATATTGAACTGTCTTAATAGCAAATCGTTCAGGTCTTCTAAACTCAAATGAAAATCCAATTGAATTTAATAATGCAAGTAATACTCCTTGTTGTACTCCTTCAAAACTCTTTGATTCTCTTTTAACTTCATTCATTTCATCTTTGTTGTAAGTTTTAGTCATAACAAAGTATATTATTCTCAAGAGTTTTTTTTCTGTTAGAGTGCTATTGATGGTAGGACTTTCTTTTTTTAGATTTGTGAATAATTCACTTGGTTCATTCATTAAAAATCTTCTTTTATTTCCTTTTCTTCCTACAAACTTTAATCAATCTAAATTCGGCTTTGTGTTTTTTTTTATATTTTATTATTAATTATTCATAAATTGAGTTAGTTTTCTTAATTATCTCTTTTTCTCTGCTTGTTTCTCACAGGCAGATTTTTTCATTTTTTTTTATTATTTCTAATGAATGTTTTGTATAAATTTCATTTATAACAAATTATTAGGTCAATTATTTCTGATTTATTTGATTGTTATGTTTTTTCATAACGTATTGATTTTAATGAAAAAGAAAGTCATGTTATTTATCTAACTTTTGTTTATCCAAAAATACCCCATTTGAAATTATATTATCTGTTTTTCATATCATTTTTTTGGTATAATTTAATTTAAGTATATTAATTTTTATTGATTTAATATGAATTAATATAACTTCTCACTGTTAAAATTACTAAAGAGAATGATGTTCTGGTTGAAGAGTTGTTTTTGTTATTCACTGAATTAATCAATTTTATTTTTGAAAAGTTTATTTCTCATTATCTAAAATTCAATGAGAAAGTTAAAATAAAATGATATTTTATAAAGACATTTTAGTATAATATAAATTGACTAAAACATAATTTGGAATAATAAAATAATAAAACATGTAAATTTCTTGGATCATTCAAGATTTTAGAAGTTTTTCATAACATTTATAGAAAATTACTATTTGAATTTTTTTTAACATTATTTATTATTATATCAATTCTTATTATTCATTTTTCTTAATTATTCTTTATTGTATTTATCATTTGATTTCTGTAAACAGAAATAATATTTATTCTAATAAAGATGAAATATATTATTTGATTGAACTGAAAAAATTATCTTCACATTTTTTAAATTATTGTAATTGTATTTCATTAACAATCAAATAAGAATATTTATCATTACTATTAATTTCATTTTCTTTGTAGTTTTGTTATTTCAATAATTGAGTTCAATCATTTCATGTTTATTTTTCTTTTATTAACTGTTGTATTAATTTATTTGTT